TCCACGCCTGATATAGGCCTTGAAAAAATATTCTTTAAAAAATCCACGCCTGATATAGGCCTTGAAAAAATATTCTTTAAAAAATCCACGCCTGATATAGGCCTTGAAAAAATATTCTTTAAAAAATCCACGCCTGATATAGGCCTTGAAAAAATATTCTTTAAAAAATCCACGCCTGATATAGGCCTTGAAAAAATATTCTTTAAAAAATCCACGCCTGATATAGGCCTTGAAAAATATTCTTTAAAAAATCCACGCCTGATATAGGCCTTGAAAAAATATTCTTTAAAAAATCCACGCCTGATATAGGCCTTGAAAAAATATTCTTTAAAAAATCCACGCCTGATATAGGCCTTGAAAAAAATATTCTTTAAAAAATCCACGCCTCATATAGGCCTTGAAAAAATATTCTTTAAAAAATCCATGCCTCATATAGGCCTTGAAAAAATATTCTTTAAAAAATCCACGCCTCATATAGGCCTTGAAAAAAATATTCTTTAAAAAATCCACGCCTCATATAGGCCTTGAAAAAAATATTCTTTAAAAAATCCACGCCTGTGATAGACTTTAAAAAAATTATTCTTTAAAAAATCCACGCCTGTGATAGATTTTAAAAAAATATTCATTAAAAAAATATTTTTTAAAAATATACCTACATTTTAAATTCCAACGAATCTCGTTTTAAACACTCGAAAAAGGTATGTAGCTATAGAAAAACAATTTTTTTTCAAAACCAACCAATTATACCAAAAATCGACCAAAATTTTTTTGATTAGAAAAATCAAAATTTTTAAATAAAAAATCAAAAATAGAATTTTTTCCCTTACGAAAAGTTATTTCCAATGATATTCGAAATCGGCCACAAATTTCACCCAAAAATTAAGACATTTTCTAAAGCAAAAATATTTTAAAATTTCAAAAAAGGTACGAAGGTACAAAATAACAATTTTTTCAAAGTCGAATTATACCAAAAATCGACCAAAAAAAAATAATTTTTCCATTAAACATTTTTTTTATTAAAGAATTATTTTTTTACAAAAATCGTTTTTTTTTAATTCAATATTCTTTGAATTAAAAAAATCATTTTTTTTTATTAAAAAAAGCCAATTTTTTTATTAAAAAATCAATTTTCTTTAATGAAGAAAAATCAATTTTTTTATTAAAAAAATATTTTTTTATTAAAAAAAAATATTTTTTTATTAAAGAAATATTATTTTTGGGCCTAGTTGTTCGTTACGTGTATCCCAAAATAAGTTTTTTTTTTTATTGAAAAATTCAATTTTCTTATAAAAAAATATTTGTTTATTAAAAAATCAATTTTTTTTATAAAAAAATCAATTTCATATCATCAATTTCATATCATTTCAAAATCATTTTTTAAATAAAAAATATTATTTTGGGATCTAGTTAGTCGTTACGTGTATCGCAAAAAATTTTTTTTTTTATTTAAAAATCAATTTTTTATTTAAAAATCAATTTTTTATTAAAAAAACAATTTTTTAATAAAAAAATTATTTTTTTATTAAAAAAATCAGTTTTTTTTTTATTAAAAAATCACTTTTTTTAATAAAAAATCAAAAAAAGTTTTTTTTATTAAAAAAATCAATTTTTTTATTACATTTTTTTTTAAAAATCAATTTTTTTTTTATTAAAAAAATTATTTTTTTATTAACAAAATATTATTTTGGGATCTAGTTGATCGTTACTTGTATCCCAAAAATTTTTTTTAATCAACTTTTTTATTAAAAAAATTAATTTTTGTTATATAATTTTTTTATTTAAAAACAATCAATTTTTTTTATAAAAAATATTTTTTTTTATAAAAAAATCAGTTCTTTTTTTATTAAAAAATCACTTTTTTTAATAAAAAATCAAAGAAAGTTTTTTTTTATTAAAAAAATCAATTTTTTATTACATTTTTTTTTAAATCAATTTTTTTAAAAATCAATTTTTTTTTATTAAAAAAATTATTTTTTTATTAACAAAATATTATTTTGGGATCTAGTTGATCGTTACTTGTTACTTTTTTATTAAAAAATTAATTTTTGTTATAATTTTTTTTTTATTTAAAAACAATCAATTTTTTTATAAAAAATTTTTTTTTATAAAAAAATCACTTTTTTATTTAAAAAAAAAAATTGTATTTATTAAAAAAAATCAACTTTTTATTTAAAAAAATATTATTTTGGGATCTAGTTGGTCGTTACGTGTATCCCGTTACGTGTTTTATTAAAAAATCAATTTTTTCATTTAAAAAATCAAATTTTATATAAAACAAATTATTTTTTATTAAAAAATCAAAAATTTTAATTAAAACAAATCAATTTTGTTTTTATTAAAAAAAACATTTTTTTTCATTAAAGATATATTAATTCGGGATCTAGTTGGTCGTTACGTGTATTCCAAAAAAGTTTCAAGGATAACCTTTTTTCAAAGTAAATTTCGTTGAAAAAAAAAAATATTTTTAAACAATTTATTAATTTTTAATTAAATATCCCCTCCCATTCATTAAAATAAATTATTAAAAAAAAAATAATTTTTTCATTAAAAATATTATTTTTAGATCTAGAAAAATCTATTTTTTTTACAAAAAAAAATCAATTTTATTTATTAAAAGATATTATTTTGGGATCTAGTTGGTCGTTACGTGTGTCCAAAAAAATGTTTCAAGGATCACTTATATTTTTTTTAAATCAATTTTATTATTGAAAAAAATAATTTTTTTTATTAAAAAAATTAATTTCTTTTATTAAAAAATCAAAGTTTTTTATTAAAAAAAATAATTTTTTATTAAAAATCAATTTTTTTATTTAAAAAAGGTTTTCTTTCAATTTTTTTTATTAAAAAAAAACAATTATTTATTAAAAACTCAATTTTTTTATTAACAGATATTATTTTGGGATCTAGTTGGTCGTTACGTGTATCCCAAAAATGTTATAAGGAACACCTATAAAAACTTTTTAAAAAAATCAATTTTCAAACAAATCATTTTTTTTATTAAAAAATCAATTTTTTACTAAAAAAAATCAATTCTTTATTTATTAAATTAAATTATTTATTAAAAATCAATTTTTTTATTAAAAATACATATTTCTTTTATTAAAAAAATCTATATTTTTTTAAAAAAATCAATTTTGTTTTTATTAAAAAAAATCAAATTTTTTTTTATTAAAAAATCAATTTTTTTTATTAAAAAATCAATTTTTTTTATTAAAAAATAATTTTTTTAATTAAAAAAACATTATTTTGGGATCTAGTTGGTCGTTACGTGTATAAATACTATTTTTTAAGAAGGACCTCTTGGACCTGGCAACCTCCCTTCAATGTGAATTTCGTTGAAAAATAATATTTTTAAACAATTTCTTTATTTTTTTTATTTAAATATCCTCCTCCTTTCATTAAAAAAATTATATTTAAAAAATTATTTTTTTCATTTAAAAAATTATTATTTTGGTATCTAGTTGGTCGTTGCTTGCATCCCCAAACAAAGTTTCAAGGATCACCAATAAAAACTTTTTTTTTTTTGATTTTTTTTGAGGATCTCTTAGATCTCAGAGTGAATTTCTTTGAAAAAAAAAAAAAAATATTTTTAAACAATTTCTTAATTTTTACCAAAAGAAATAATATTCCTCTAAATAACTGCTCCATTTTCATATTTTTTATACGCGAAAATTAAGACCTTTTCTAAAGTTAAAACCCATTGAAACATGTTTTAAAAACTCAAAAAAGGTACGAAGGTATAGAATAACAATTTTTTTATTAAAAAATTATTTTTTTAATAAAAAATAATTTTTTTTTTATTAAAACAAATTATTAAAAAAATATTATTTTGGGATCTGGTTGGTCGTTACGTGTATCCCAAAAAAAGTTTCAAAGATCACCAATAAAAACTTTTTTTTTAGATATTTTTAACCTCTCTTCAAAGTAAATTTCGTCGAAAAAAATATTTTTAAAAAATTATTTAATTCTTTTATTTAAAGGGGAAGTTTCATTAAAAAATTATATTTAAAAAATTATTTTTTTCATTTAAAAAATTATTTTTTTTCATTTAAAAAATTATTATTTTTGGATCTAGAAAAACCATTTTTTGTATAAAAAAATCAATTTTTTTTATAAAAATTAATTTTATTTATTAAAAAAAAATATTATTTTGCGATCTAGTTGGTCGTTACATGAATCCCAAAAAAAGTTTCAAGGATCACCTATAAAAAGTTTTTTTTTTAAATTTTTTTTAAGGACCTCTTGGACCTGGCAACCTCCCTTCAAAGTGAATTGCTTTGAAAAAAAAAATATTTTTAAATAATTTCTTATTTTCTTTAATTAAATATCCCCTTTCCTTTATCAAAAAAAAAAAAAAAAAAGAATATTCCTCCAAATAACTCTCCCATCTCCATTTTTTACGTGCCTAACTAATTTCTTTTTTATATTATTTTTAATTTTAATCTCATTTCCTCTGAAACAATTTCAACAGCCAAAGTGAAAAAAGCCATTCTTAAAATAATATTAATTTTCAGTTTTAATTTTCTTCATATTAATATTTTATTATTATTTATGGCAAACTGTCTCTGAGGTTTAAAATACGTTTTGTGTTTTTTTTTTCTCGTCGTTCTTTGTTTTTCTGGGAAAAATTGGCTCGTGTATTTTCCAATGAAATTAAATATTCACACAAAGTAAATGAACGACTGACTAAACACTGTAACCATATTTGCTTTCAGACAGGCGACTGAGGGGGATTTTTTTGCTTTTGTGTTTGTTTTTGTTGTTGATGTTGTATTATAAAATTGGCACCGTTGCACATTCTACCAACAATCGAGTGTTGGGGGAAATCCCAAATGGCCTACCAAAACAAGTCAGAAGAAAACAAAACTTTTTGTTGTTGTTGTTTTTTGTTTTTCGCACTTGAAAGTCATGTTACAAACATTGGCAAGACACACACACGCACACACACCTAAATACAGTCACTTGGTTTGAAACCTCATTAAGTAATAACCAGCACTTACCCTTCTGCCCGACAGCATGCAAATATTTGCATAAAGACCAGCAAGAGACACAACGTAGACCTACGTTGACAAGTCATGTCGTTGGAGTTTTTTTTTTTTCAAAATTTACTTCACCGTTTTTGTTTCTGATTATCGCACCTCGAGATTCGTAATTTCTGTCACAAAACCCGTAATTAAAAAATTAATTTTTTTTTATTAAAAATAAATCTCCCTGGGGGAGAACTCAAGTTGATCTTGCCGCTTTGACAGCCACACGAAGACTGGCTAGAATTTTTGTGTGCAGGGCTATAATGTAGTCGTTGGCAGATGAGCCGGACTGAGTTGAGCCAGTCAGTGAGCGAGCGAGCGAGCGTCAACAGATTGTGTTGCGAGACCGGCATTATCTACTCCGGGTTATCTGTTTTGAGCTGGGCTCTGTTCAGATTGTAATGATGAGAGACTGTGCTTTTTGGGTGAGAGAGATTAAGCCGGTTCTATCTCAAACATAATAGGGTTGCCGCTTTAAAGGTAATAATAATTTAATTTTAAAAAATGAAAAAATTAAAAAAATAAAAATCCAAAATTAATAACTCAAGAATAATAATTTCCAGCAAAAATAAGGGGTCTCCTTGAACTTAAAAACCATTGAAACCCATCTTTTCAAAACCGACCATTTATACCAAAAATCGACCAATTTTTTATTAAAAAAAAACATTTTTTTTAGTTAAAAAACATAAATAAAAACTTTTCCGACAAAATGGTACAGAATAACCAAAACCGACCAATTATACCAAAAATCGACCAAAATTTTTTTAATAAAAAAATTAAATTTTGTAATTAAAAAACCATAAATAGAAACTTTTCCGACAAAAAGGTACAGAATAACCATTTTTTTCAAAACCGATCAATTATACCAAAAATCGACCAAATTTTTTATATTAAAAAAATATTAAATGAACAACATAAATAATAACATATCCGACAAAAAATAATATATTTACAAAATTGGTAATGAGGTTAATTTAATTATTTCCAAAACCGACCAATTATACCAAAATTCTACCAAACATTTTTTTATTAAAAAAAATAAAGTTTGCAATTTAAAAACACAAATAAAAATATTTCCGAAAAAAAGGTACAGAATAAGACTTTTTTCAAAACCGACCAATTTTACCAAAAATCGACCAATTTTTTTTTTATTAAAAAAATATTAAAGGAACAAATTTTTTAATTAAAAAACATAAATAAAAACATTTCAGACAAAAATAAAATAATAATAATTACAAAATTGGTATAGAAGTTAATTTAATTATTTCCAAAACCAACCAATTATACCAAAAATCGATCAAATTTTTTTATTAAAAAAATTAAATTTTGCAATAAAGAAGCATAAATAGAAACATTTCCTACAAAATGTACAGAATCATTTCTTCAAAACCGACCAATTAGACCAAAAATCGACCAATTTTTTTATTAAAAAAATTATTAAAAGAAAAAGTTTTTTAATTAAAAAACATAAATAAAAACATTTCCGACAAAAAAATAATAATAATTACAAAATTGGTGTAAAAGTTAATTTAATTATTTCCAAAACCGACCAATTATACCAAAAATCGACCAAAATTTTTTTTTTATTAAAAAAAATTAAATTTTGTAATTTAAAAACATAAATAAAAACATTTCCTACAAAAAGGTACAGAATAAGACTTTTTTCAAAACCGACCAATTATACCAAAAATCGACCAAAATTTTTTTATTAAAAAAATTAAATTTTGTAGTTTAAAAACATAAATAAAAACATTTCCGACAAAAAGGTACAAAATAAGACTTTTTTCAAAACAGATCAATTTTACCAAAAATCGACCAATTTTTTTTTTATTAAAAAAAATATTAAAGGAACAAATTTTTTAATTAAAAAACATAAATAAAAACATTTCAGACAAAAATAAAATAATAATAATTACAAAATTGGTATAGAAGTTAATTTAATTATTTCCAAAACCAACCAATTATATCACAAATCGACCAATACATTTTTTAATCAAAAATTAAATTTTGTGATTTAAAAACATAAATAAAAACATTTCCGACAAAAAGGTACAGAATAACGATTTTTTTCAAAACCGACCAATTATAGCAAAAATGGGCAAATTTTTTTCATACAAAAAAAACTAATTTTTTAACTAAAAACATAAATAAAAACATTTCCGAAAAATAAAAAAAATAATAATCGAAAAATATTTTAAAAACTCCAAAAAGGTAGCTAGGAACAGAAAATCACTTTTTTCCAATTCCGACCAATTATACCAATAATCGACCAATTTTTTTTATTAAAATAATTAAATTTTGTAATTTAAAAAACATAAATAAAAACCATTTCCGACAAAAAGGTACAGAATAACACTATTTTAAAAACCGACCAATTATACCAAAAATCGACCAAATTTCTTTTTTATTAAAAGAACTAATTTTTTAATTAAAAAACATAAATAAAAACAATTCCGACAAAAAATAATAATAATTACAAAATTGGTACAGAAGTTAATTTAATTATTTTCAAAACCGACCAATTAAGCCAAAAGTCGACCAAAATTTTTTTTATTAAAAAAATTAAATTTTGTAATTTAAAAACATAAATACAAAGATTTCCGACAAAAAGGCACAGAATAAATATTTTTTTCAAAACCGACTAATTATACCAAAAATCGACCAATTTTTTTATTAAAAAAAAATTATTGAAAAAAATAATTTTTTAACTAAAAAAATAAAAACATTTTCGACAAAAAACTACAGAATAAAGATTTTTTTAAAACCGACCAATTTTACCAAAAATCGACCAAATTTTTTTTTTATTAAAAAATAAATTTTTTATTGAAAAAACTATTTTTTTTAACTAAAAAACGTAAACATTTCCTTTTTTAAAAACCGATCAATTATAGCAAAAATCGACCAAAAAATATTTTATTAAAAAATTAAATTTTGTAATTTAAAAACATTTCCGACAAAAAGGTACAGAATAACCCTTTTTTTAAACCGACCAATTATACAAAAAATCGACCAAATTTTTTTTGTATTAAAAATCAATTTTTTTTATTAGGAAAACTATTTTTTTTAACTAAAAAAAAAATAAATAAAAACGTTTCCGACAAATACAAAAAATATAATAATTATTACAAAATTGGTAAAGCCTTTAATTTAATTAATTCCAAGGCGATTCAAAATATGCCACATATTTCACAAGAAAATTAAGACCTTCATTGGCCTTAAAACACATCGAAAAACATTTTAAAATCTCAAAAAAGCTAGCTAGGTACAGAAAGACACTTTTTTCAAAACCGACCAATTATACCAAAAATCGACCAAATTTTTTTTTTAAACAAATTAAATTTTGTAACTAAAAACCAAAAAAAAAAAAACGTTTTTGATAAAAAAAAATAAATAAATAAAATAAATTATTTAATTAATAAAAAATTGGTAAAGAAATTAATTTAATTATTTCCAAGGCCATGCGAAATCGGCCACAAAATTTCACGCCAAAATTAAGACCTCTTTGAACTTAAACCCCATCGAAAAACATTTAAAATTCTCGAAAAAGGTATATAAATGCAGAATAATACATTTCTTCATAACCGACCAATTATATCAAAAATCGACCAATTTTTTTTTATAAAAAAAATTAAATTTTGTAATAAAAAAATTAGAAATAAAAATATTTCCGTAACCCAAAAATCAAAAAAAAAAGTAGAGTGATTTATTTAATTATTTCCAAGGCAGTTTGAAATTGGCCACAATTTTCACGCTAAAATTGAGATCTTTTTTGAAATTAAACTATTCGAAAACCATTTTAAAAACTCAAAGAGGGTACATATATACAGAATAACACACTTTTTCAAAACCGGCTTTGAAAAAATATTTTTTTAAAAAATCCACGCCTCATATGGGCTTTGAAAAAATATTTTTTTAAAAAATCCACGCCTCATATGGGCTTTGAAAAAATATTTTTTTAAAAAATCCACGCCTCATATGGGCTTTGAAAAAATATTTTTTTAAAAAATCCACGCCTCATATGGGCTTTGAAAAAATATTTTTTTAAAAAATCCACGCCTCATATGGGCTTTGAAAAAATATTTTTTTAAAAAATCCACGCCTCATATGGGCTTTGAAAAAATATTTTTTTAAAAAATCCACGCCTCATATGGGCTTTGAAAAAATATTTTTTTAAAAAATCCACGCCTCATATGGGCTTTGAAAAAATATTTTTTAATAAATCCACGCCTCAAATAGGTCTTGAAAAAATATTTTTTAAAAAAATCCACGCCTTATATGGGCTTTGAAAAAATATTTTTTAATATATCCACGCCTCAAATAGGTCTTGAAAAAATATTTTTTAATATATCCACGCCTCAAATAGGTCTTGAAAAAATATTTTTTAATATATCCACGCCTCAAATAGGTCTTGAAAGAATATTTTTTTAAAAAATCCACGCCTCAAATAGGTCTTGAAAAAATATTTTTTAATAAATCCACGCCTCAGATAGGTCTTGAAAAAATATTCTTTAATAAATCCACGCCTCATATAGGTCTTGAAAAAATATTCTTTAATAAACCCACGCCTCATATAAGTCTTGAAAAAATATTCTTTAAAAAATCCACGCCTGGGATAGGCCTTGAAAAAATATTCTTTAAAAAATCCACGCCCCATATAGGCCTTGAAAAAATATTCTTTAATAAATCCACGCCCCATATAGGCCTTAAAAAAATATTCTTTAATATATCCACGCCTCATATAGGCCTTGAAAAAATATTCTTTAATATATCCACGCCTCATATATGCCTTGAAAAAATATTCTTTAAAAAATCCACGCCTGAGATAGGTCTTGAAAAAATATTCTTTAAAAAATCCACGCCTGAGATAGGTCTTGAAAAAATATTCTTTAAAAAATCCACGCCTGAGATAGGTCTTGAAAAAATATTCTTTAAAAAATCCACGCCTGAGATAGGTCTTGAAAAAATATTCTTTAAAAAATCCACGCCTGAGATAGGTCTTGAAAAAATATTCTTTAAAAAATCCACGCCTGAGATAGGTCTTGAAAAAATATTCTTTAAAAAATCCACGCCTGAGATAGGTCTTGAAAAAATATTCTTTAAAAAATCCACGCCTGAGATAGGTCTGAAAAAATATTCTTTAAAAAATCCACGCCTGAGATAGGTCTGAAAAAATATTCTTTAAAAAATCCACGCCTGATATAGGTCTTGAAAAAATATTCTTTAAAAAATCCACGC